TTTTTTAGAATGAAGCTAGAACTGTCAGCTGTCAAATGACATAGCAATAACATAGATGCGAATGACTCTAGTACTTCCAAAAATGAACGAGTGCCATCTGTCACAAACATGCGTCATGACTTTTCTGACAACCCAATAAAATGCCCCACATAAAAATCATGTGATTTTAAAAAATTAACTTGACCAAGATATGATTTACATTAAATAAGAAACACCCATTCTGAGTAGTGTTAACAAAGCTAATGATATTAAGAGATAAGGTGAAATTTTGAAGACAGGTCCTGCTTGGAGCAGACCACCCGGACCTGAGGCCTTGAGATGCGGACCTCACTTTGTCCGTCAGCAGCTCACGGAGACGTTTGAGAAGCCCGGGAGAGGCAGGAGTGAGATGCGGGTGGGTAACGTGGAGCAGGAGACCTGACTCAAGCCTGCCTCCTGTTTATTAAGTAGCCTGCTTTGTGCATGGCTCTGAAACGTAAAACTTATGCCTCAGTTTTACGTGAAATGCGAATGACTCGAGCCACCTCTGGCAAGTTTGTAGATGATAGTGAATGGGAAAGTGTCTTGGTTCTTGTGGAAGCTCTCACATGTCAGAGCTGTTGAAAGCGATCCAGGAAATTGGAAGGCAAAGCTCCGGCTCCTATGCTGTGTCTAGAACCTTTGGATTTAAGGCCTTTAGTAAGACTTCCAGCCATCAGGGAGTAACAGGATCAGAAATTAACTTCCCAGCACAACAACCAGAGAACTGAACAAAATATAAGAAGTAGCTTTTTCCAGATGTTAGAAAACAGTGCAAGACTGTGATCCCTGAAAGAAGGGAAACGAACGAGATCAGTTCTGTGATCGCCCCGGACTTCAGTCTGGAGGCGCTTTTCAGACTACACTGTCGGGGGAGGGGGAACAGAGCTGAGGAAGCAGATGGAGTTGGGAAAGCAGAAACATCTGTATCTGTGGGGCAGAGTCCCGGAGAGGAGGGAGGTCAGCAGAGGATGAGCTTCAGCGATCTGGAGAGGGGTCCTCTTGAGAAATAAGCCGTGCGTTCATAGGGTGAAACCCCGTGAGGCTGGGCAAGAACTACCCTGGGGGTGACCGAGTCCCAGAGCCAGAGTGGAGAGGTCCTGATTAATAACAGGCCATTCCATTGAAACAGAAACCCCAGAAAGGCCGTGCCTTAGAACAAAATGGGGCAAAATTAATCCCAGAATAAAGGTGATGCTAAAGCCATCCTAAAACAAGCCTCAGAAGGACCAAACTAAACTTAAATACCTGTCTTGCAGAAAAAGCAACGAACATTCTTGAAAAGAATACAGAAAAAAACCAAAAAACTAGTACACAGTAACATAAAGTTTACAATATCTAGCATCCAACAAAAAATAACAAGACATTCAAAGACTTGTATAAAGAATCAAGAAATGTGACTCATAAGCAGGCAAAATAAATAAATAAAAATAAGAAAACACCCAGAAATGAGGGCAATGATAGAAGCAGCAGATAAGGACCTTAAAAATTTGTTCTACGTGTTCTGTGATCTGAAGGAAAATGTAAACAAACAGAAGATAAATGGAGGAGCTAAGAAAGAACAAAATGGAGCTTCTAGAGATGATAAAAACTTAGAATCTGAAATGAAAATTTTGCCGAATGGGATTAATGGAAGGTTGGACACAGCAGAAGCAAAGATCA